TTGGATTGTATGTGCTCGTTGACGTCTGTACACATCAGTGTATAGGGACGCTGGGCCCGAATTCCAGCTCACACCCAACACACCCTTATGAGGGTTTACAGTTGATAAGGAAGGACGTAGGATAGATTGGGCTTTTTCTTCATGCATCATATAGTGATGTCATAGTAGATAATGGAGGATAGGGTACATAGGGCTCTTCCTTCATGGGTCATATCTTGATGATCATATACACATACAACTGCATACTACTGCATAGGGATGATGGGCCCGATTCCCAGCTGTTTCACAACACATTGATTAGAGGCGCTGGACCTGATTGTTCTGATCTCTAGCTCACATACATCACATCAAAGCTAGGGTTTCGTTTCCTGGCCTGATAGATAGGTCTGGGCTTGATGCCTAACTTTGTGTTTGATCAGATGGGCACGGTTTTCCCATCATTTGACACATCTGACATCTGACATATATTGGTTAATGAACACACATCGGTAGTAGGAGATATCAACACATCTCTGTATTGGGACGCTGGACCCCATTTCCAGTTGATGCATTCACATCATTGTATAGGGACGCTGGGCCCGATTTCCAGCAGGTGCAGCTCCCCACCAATAGATGGAGCCTTTGACGCGGGGGTCTACTTACCGGGGATGCTCTTACCACCTGGCCAAGTAGGCTTCCTATATATGAAGTTGCTTAAAAAAAAAGAAAAAGAAAAAAAAGAAAAGGATCAGCTTCTGTCTGTGTGATGGCCCGGATCGTCCGAATGTCGACAGCTCAGATGCAATTTGTCCCAGTTTCGGTCTGGACTCCTTGAGGCCTGAATCTTCTGGAACCTGCAGACCACCGTCAGATCATTCCAGTTCGACGGCCAGGAAATCTTATGTTGACTTTGACTTCTCGGATCTGGGCCTGGGTCCACGAGTTGACTGTTGACATTTCAGTCAACTGTCGGTCTGGGCCTCTTCCTAAGGCCTGTTTGACCTTTTCCAGGGCCTGCCCATTCGTGCTTGTCTTTCGGGGTGCTGAGGGCATGATAGGAGCCTGGCGGCTCAATTTGGGCACACGTTACAGCAAATCAATCAATCAATAAATCAATCAGTAAATCGATCAATCAGTCAGCAAGCAAACGAAATGCAATCAGTCAATCAATCAGTCAATCAATCATTTTTATTTCTTACCTTTGTTTTCTTTTGCTCGTTTTAATTATTATTATGTTGAAAAAATCTAAGAACAGAACCCAAAAAAAAAAAAAAAGGTGGTACAAAATGCTCTACAACCCCTTTTATTCATTAAAAAAAACCCTATTTTTTCATATGGTGGGCACATTTGTACGGCCGTCGTATGAATGGCCGTTCAAACGTTCGCATCACCATACGACAAAACCCCCGTAAGACGTACGGGGGTTGAAACAGCTGAGCACAAATCTGATGACTGCCTACTTAACTCGATGCCCACAAGAAACAGAGGATCCTCCATTCAGAAGAACAGGAGCCCCTGGCTTGGAGATTGAAAGCCACAAAGAGTCCCATAATGTTTTTTTTTTTTTTTTTTTTTTTCCCTTTAAGTCCATGGTGTTGTAGAGGCCAGTCACTGAGTGCACAGTGATCACCTGGAGCAGTAGTACCATTGGTCAAATAGTATCAAATAGAATCCCCTCACTGCATATTTTTCTCGGCCTTTTGGCTAAGCTCAAGTGCACTGTATCTGTTTTGAATCTTCTGATCAGTTTATAATACTTTATATCTGATCCGTGTCAATCGGATCGCAACAAAAAAAAAATTAAAAGAAAATCCCCTCACTGCCCATCAATTGGAGTCTAAACATCTGCGACACGGAAGACCGGCACAGAGCACATGTAGAATCCATCAAAAGTGGCCCAAAATGGAAAGGATCCTTGCTGCAAAAGGGAAGTATTTCAAAAAGTAAAAAAAAAAAAAAAAAGGACCCATAAAACTGGAGTCAAAATGTGGGGGGAGCAGGGGAAAAAACAGGGAAAAACACTTTTAAGGCTTAAGCAGATGATAAGTATGGAAGCGCTTATTGTGAGGGCATTATGACAAGGGATGCAAAAAAAGGGGGATGATAGGGAAGTCATTAGATTTTTTTATTTTTTGTTCTTTTCTAAACGTCCAGGGTGTTGTAGAGGTCGGTTTCTGGACCCATGACAGATACCTATCTACAGTCAGCAACTAATTTATGGGACCCAGACCATCCTATCTTGGAGGATCCCCCTCAGACAGCCCCCTACTGCAGGTTTCCCAACGATTTCCTCCACCAGAGTCTGTCTACTAACACCCCTCCTACCGGGATCCCTTAAGACAATCCCCTACTGTAGGTTCCCCACCTATATCCTCCAGCAGAGCTTGTCCCAAGCCAACCCTCCCCCCAAACGGGACCCCATCCCACCTCAGGTCCTTGCCCCCCACAAAGCAGAGCCTAAGGTAACCAACACACATGAGCAGTCTAACCACAAACCTGTACCTGCATCCTCATTAGACTGCTAACTGTATCAGGCAAACCCCTCATAGGCCAGGACCCAACATACAACACCATGGACAGTCCCCTGGGTGGTGCGCAGGCAGTGTCTGTAATAGCTTACCATGCGTCAGCCCAAGAGGTGTGTGTCCAGCCGTGCGTCATTCTAACGCCCTGCCGGTGTCCATGCGTGAGGCTGCGGATTTGAACCCGCAACCTCATACCACAGTGTGCATTTCCAACCAGTGCTCTAACCACTGAGCTACATCAACTAGAAATAGAAAGTCATTAGATCATGACAATTGCGAATTTCAGCAGGAAGGAATGTTCTGGAGGAGCAGGGGAAAAAAAGAAAAAAAGAAAAAAAAGAACTACGGTCAAGGATACATGGAATTGTCGACATAGGCTTCAGGGAGCAAGGGACATAGAGATAGCAAGTGATAGCAAGTGACATCGGGCTAGCCAAGATAACGGCTCTGAGGGACAAGACGGGTTTTGCGTGCTGTCAAGGCATCCTAGAACTAGACATGTAGAGCGTGTACAGACACGTTGGAAGAGACAATGCTATGCCGATGGCAAGCAGGCATGCAGCCTGAGGGGCTGCTAGGAACCCCCCCCCCCCCCCCCCCCCCCCCCCCTTTCTGGAGGCCATCACGCTGCGTGACTGGGTGCTGCTAGTAAGCCTCAGACCTGCAGGACAGCCCCCAAGAAGGGCAAAGGGTTTGGGGGAGGGATGATCCGTAGCAGCCTCCCCCTTGTTCAGGCGGCTAGAGCCGCAAGGGCCAGGCTGATCCTTTGTTTTCGTATTACCCCCCTCTTCGCTGTACAAACATGCTTACCAGTGATAGGCAACCGGACTGACGCCCCCCAGAATAGAAGGGGCTTTGTGTTTTCCGAAAAAAAGAAAAAGAAAGAAAAAAAAGAAAAAAACTGGAGTCAAAAGACTCAAAACACCCACAACTTGGAAGGCAGCTAGAGAGGGATTTGAAATGCGTTGGCGAGCTCGTCACAATCTGGGCATAACCCTGCTCAAAACAAACTCCACCCTTCAGAACAACCATCAAAATCGCAACCATTCAGAGTACCTGAACATGGTCGCCAAACAAGGACGCCACACACAAACCAAGAAACGATATTCCGACCAAAACCATCAGAACATGCCATGAATCTGGACAAATGAACTCCTGTAAACAGTGTAAAGGACACCAGGGCCACAATTCCACCAGCACGGACAAAGAGCGATTGACTGTAGATAGCGAAGACCAATCATGGTCACCAGCGAGTCAGCGACTGACTGTAGATAGCAAAAATCAATCATGATCTGTGCTAACGAAACCTTAGCCCAGGTAACATACTCCCAAATGGCCTCGCCAACTGAGCCACCAACGTCGGAAGAGGAATAAATGGAACTTGACCGGAAAAGTGTACAGCAGCTACAGCTGTCGAAGCTGCAAAAACAAACCGAACTTTTGCACCGTGTGCTCACAAACAGAAGATGTGAATTAGGATTGTCAAAATAGATGTGACATAGCTGTTGGATTAAGGGCCTCGCCACACAGGCTGTCGAAATGTGCAAAACGAGAATGAACTTCCCGCTAGAACATGGCCAGATGCACCTGGCACATTTTTGTCGTTTTCACGTTTCGAAAGCCTGTGTGGCGAGGCCCTAACCCTTGGACGCTCTACTGATGAAAACCCCTGTGAGATAAAGGACAATTGGGAACACCCACCCCATGTGGCTAAATGGCACATCCATGAACTGCTGATAGAGAGACCTGAGTTCAAATCCATTGGGATCAGAATCATCAGATGAATCATTTAAACTCTTAAATTACCTAGGAGCGGTCAGTTGGACAATGACACCTCAAGGCCATCACCCTAATTCTTTTCCTTCTTATTTTTGAAGGACAACTGCAAGTGATGCCTCTGCAATTTGTCTCATTTGAACAAATGCCTCTGTCAGAATGCTACCTGGACATCCGCACATCATGGTACAGATCTCACTCACATGGTTGCCTGGACTTAACAGATCCATACATTCTCACAGAGGCACTTGTGCAAACGATGCAACATGCGGGGGCATACATACAAGTGCTTACCGCATCGACAGAAGGAAAGTATTCTATGACACAGTTACAGAATCTTTGTCCAAAATTCTGCATCATAACTTTTTCATATTGGATGGCATCCAATTCCCATACGCTTAGTTGATCGTAGTCCATCAGCGCCTCTAGTCAAGATTTGCTTTATGCACACTCTGATCAGGAGAGGCTCTCACAAGATGATGATGAGTGGATCTCTCTCTCTCTCTCTCTCTCTCTCTCTCTCTCTCTCTCTCTCTCTCTCTCTCTCTCTCTCTNCCCCTCCCCCCTCTCTCTCTCTGCCATCTGCAGGCTCTGGGTACGAGCACTAGCAAATGTGTGCGGTGCATTCTTCACCCTCTGCTCTTTGAGAATGCGTAAAAACAGTCAATGGTGAAAGGTTGACGATCGCCATTCTCTTGAAGGTGTACAGGCTGCTCAGAGCATGGGTGCACACCTTGATTATCCACATATGATAAGGAGCTCGGCAACTTCAGTTCCTGCTGAGGTGAAGCCAGAATGAGTGACAATCCTGTCCAGCCTCCTCCACCTCCTTGTTGCCAATGATGGATGCCAAGTTTGTGAGAGAGTGAGCAATATTTTTTGCAGTTTCGTACGCCACAAGGAAAACAGCAGACGCGGCAACCTGCACATTAAGGGATAGGGGTTCAGAAGCAACATTTTGTTGACAGTGCGTTGTCATGCTCTCTATACACAACTCCACAAAAAAAGCACGACTGTATGTGTCCAACCAAACCATGGCAAATATCAAGTATCACTCTACTACATGTGTGGTACACCAGGTCGGACTCCACGCATAACCGATTCCCCCGAGATATTCCTCGCCAGGACTAACGTCTTCACCCGAATAAAACGCCCGGTCATTATAGCTGTATTGCTGCAACTTTTACTCTAGATATTGAGTCAAATTCGCCGTTGATGACCGGGCGTTCTATTCGGCTGACCACGGTGGTCTAGCAAGACTTCACTACATGTGCTTGCATGTTCATGCATCACAGCCTGCCTGCTTAGCGCAGCTTCGCACGACAATGCAGCGGCGTGGCCGCTATGCCTGCACAGACCAGAATATCTCCTTCCTGGGCCACACACTTTCCTTTATGGAAAGTCTGCCCGCCGCTGGCTGGCCTGGCCAGGCATTTGGGGAGGGGCCCAGTAGAAGGAAATGGAACAAAAGAAGAAGGGAAAGAAAGCAATGACAGCAGCATGGAAGGAGATGAGAGGAAATGGCTGGTCTTGCAGGCGGAAATATTAGAGTCACAGGTGGAAAGGCTAAGCCAGATCAATGATGAGCTTAGTCTGAAAACAGTGACACTGGAGAGCCTGAATAACCAGACACAGTTCGTCTTCTGGGAAAGAGCAAACCAGGAGAGCAGAACGCTGCTGCCCTCGCGAGCAGTGATCCTGGTCAAATGGGATGCAGTTACAGCAGAATGGCAGACGTCATCTTATCCCAACTTCGAGCTACTGAAACTGGAAAAAGGACAGAGCAGAGGCAAACTGTTGTCAAAAGTCGCACCAACAGCAAAGCCACTGGCAATGGGACTGGTAGGAGAACCTCTCAAGGTTCAAGAGTTGGGGGAGAGAGGAGAAGGAAAGGAGGGAGCCAGCTTGGACACAAGGCCCATAGTGGTCCAGTTTTACTAAGACGCCTTTCTGGGGGAGGACCTGCAATGGAGGCCATGGTGGGAAATAGCCCAATTACCATTCACAGCGCTCGGGCCAGAGACAACAATGATCCAGTCTGCAGCAAGCATGGCAACAGCACTGGCTGCAAAAAATTTCAACATGGGGGCCAAGGGCCTGAAGAGATCCCTGAAGGAACTGGGGGAAGACACTGGAGAATCCTCACTAAGCCAGGCTCCTTTGCAGCTTCCTACCCTCTCATCCTGAACCAACTGAACTAAGGAGAGCCGAATCATCTCCAACCTGTCCTAATGCCCGAGGATACAGAGGCTCTAGAAACTAGAACTGTCAGAGCTCCAAGGGCTAACAACATAGACAGGGGGGAGTTTCAGATCATGGAATGTAAGAGGGTTAGCAACAATCCTATCAACCCCGTCCAAGTGGCACAGCTTCGTGGGCATGACTGACGGTTGGACAATCAACACCCAGACATTCGGTGTATTCAAAAAACACACCCGATTACAACAATAGAACATCAGAACATTCTTAATGAAATCATGAGAAGACTCGTACGCATTGAATTTGCCTCGACAGGGGTTTTATACCGTTTTAACAATAGTACACGAAAAATTGTACGCCACCCAATTCGTACAGGTAGAAGGGTCAGCAAAAGATGAACAAGAGGGCAGGTGGACAAGAATCGACTTCTCCTGCAATCAGACTCGTTTTCAAACACACTTTTCATGCATGTAATCAGCAACGCAGCATACTGGCGACATGCGCCCACTCAAAACTCAGAKATATGGCTTTCAGATACGAGTTCACTCTCAATTGGCTATGGCGACTTCAGCGCCCAAACATCTCACTGTTCACATACACTGGATCACCCTGGATATCCCACACGCATCACTCTAACACTCGAACACACACACACACACACACACTCACTACTAACTACAGCTATGGCAGCTGTCGCTGCATCTACCCTATCGCTATGCTAACTCCCTCTCTCTAGCCCACTGCGTCCTCCGGGCTCCTCTGCAGACCTCCTCGCACAAGTCGCTGTGGCAGCGCTTCCGCATGGCTCACGCAGGAATGAATGAATGGCTGGGCGCTGCCTCTTGATTTATACTTCAGAAACTCGTTGGTCTGCCCTTTGCCATCGGCCCTTGGTGCTTACAGTCCCCCTGTGGTACTCGCTGGACCGGACTGGGACTGACTGGACCTTCCGTTGACTGACTGTGGACTCACCGCTATCCTACCGCTGTTGCACTGCGGTTTAGTCCACCACTTGCCTCACCACTTGACCACTTGCCCACTTGCCTACCTTCTAGAAGGTCTACAGCTAAGCTTCCAGAACTCACTAAGACTCCTACGCTATAGACCTACAGATCGAACCCCTGCTGTCTATGRACCTACGACAGGTCTACCAACTGCCTACGAATACACAGGTCACAGGTTCAATCCTCGGGGTCTACACAGATACTGTACATGGGTAGGGTGAGGTCTAGGGGTCGAATCCTGGGTACTGTATCCGCTACTGCTAAAAGGTGAAAACCGTTTCACTCCCACAGAGAAGATGAGATATCGTTAATCAACATATATGCACCAAACGCAAACTCACAGAGAAGAGCATTCCTAGAAATAGTAAAACAAGAATGCCCTAATCACAGACACCTGGTTCTAGTACGAGATTGGAACGCCACTCTAGAACCAGCTATAGATAAAATCTCACACACTAGGGAGACCCCAGATGAATCGGAGGCCCAAGTAATGTTAGAATTCTTAACAGAAAAAAAAAAAAAAAACATAAAGGACCCGTATAGTATGCTAAATCCGACAAAGAAAGACTACACATGCATTCAGAAATCATCCCAAGGCAGAACCTCTCCATAATAGATTACTTCCTAACCTCAGACACGCTAGAAGGTGCAAAAGACTACACATGCATTCAGAAATCATCCCAAAGCAGAACCTCTCCATAATAGATTACTTCCTAACCTCAGACACGCTAGAAGGTGCAGTACAGAGCACAGGAATCTTCAAGATACCTTATTATGGAGGATTTGACAACAACCACATAGGGATAGATTTGACTTTCTCACTGAACAACATACCAGGAAAGAGCTTTTTCAAGCTCGACATACCAAGAAAGGGGTTAAACAAGTATCGGAAGCTCACAGACTAGAGGCAAACAACATAGGCTCACTAAATAGTAAACACCATACCAAAAGTGATTCAAGAAGTCAGTAGATGGTTAAGCAAAGCATCAAGACGGGAGGCTATAACGAGAAGAGCAAGACANTAAATAGTAAACACCATACCAAAAGTGATTCAAGAAGTCAGTAGATGGTTAAGCAAAGCATCAAGACGGGAGGCTATAACGAGAAGAGCAAGACAGGAAATGCTTGAAGCAATAGTCGAGACAGCAAAATTTAACTTAATAGACAACCCAGGCTTGCCTATGTATGAAGAACTACTAGAACAGGCAAGAGAGGAGCTCAGGAAACGGTCGGCTTGGAACAGATAGGGACTAGCCATAAGAGCAAGGGTGAAGGACTGGGAAAGCAACGAAACCATGTCTAACTTTCTTTTTCCAACGAATCAAAGCAAACTGTAGGAACAGCAGAATCCTGGGACCTAAAAACAATCAGGGCACAGTGATGTCCACTCAAGAGGGTATCCTCAAAGTGGCCACAAACTCTTATCGCACTCTGTACACTTCAAGGGCAGCTGATTCATACCCAGTTGGGCAATGTATGTACAGCCAAGGATCCGCAATGTGATGAAGAGGACTGAATGGACACTGCAATGTTAGTGAAACATCAACTGGCAATGTACACCCTGATACATACAAATTGGCACAAAATAGTGCAGTGGAAGACTTGCACATAAGTCCTGACCTGACCGGGAGTGACACGACATCCCATCATACATCACACATGGGAGAGGAGGAGCAGGGAGCACACACGAGGAAGAAAGGTCCCTCCTTGTACACGCACATGAGGAGATACCACAGATGAGAGATGGGGGAAGAGGAGAGATGAAGATGGAGGCGAGGGAGAAGACCCAGATCGCAATAGCGAAGTCCAAAAATAGTCCCTTGCCGATGTCCAATCAATGTAACCTCTGCCAATATCCTCTGACTGTAACCTCTCTCACTCTCGTTCCTGAAGAAGAAGAAGAAGAAGATGGAGGAGGAGGAGGAGGAAGGAGGAAGAAGGAGGAGAGATGGAGGGCAAGAAGGGAGAAGAAGATGTCGCCCTCCTCGCTGCCTCACCTGCAGGTAACGGCCGCCGTACTGACTGCCGTGGTTGTCCTGTGCAGGTACCGCGTGGAGATCCCAGCTATGGCGCCAGGTAAGTTCGCCACTACAGGTATGGCCTCCGCCTCTCACTCCCACCTAGGTCTCTCGTTCCAGCCTTGCAGCGCAGCCTCCATTCAGCAGCGTGTCGCTCAAGAAGTTAGCTAACGAACTGTCCGTTGCCCAGCCGCTGCCCAGCTATCTGTAGCGCTGGGCGAGGCTGGGCCTGCCTGGTGCTGGCCTCAAAATGGCCCAGCCGGTCTGGGTCCCTACCGGGTGTCCAGACTGTGCTGCTGATGCAGCAAGGCGCAAAAACGCGCCTGGCCTCTTTAGGCCCTGCCTCTGGTGTACAGTCCCAAGGTCGTACCTTGGGGACTGCAAGTCCGAAACGACGTCTGCACAGACCAAAATAGGACAGCAGGTAAGTAAATAAATAAATGCCGCCTATATTTGGAATCTGCGGCCTGGGGGCCGCTGTGGGCCTCCTGGGCACATGTCTGATGGGCATGTGGCCTGGGGGCCCCTCAGCAACCGCCGGGCCCCTCAAATGGGGCCCGTGTGCAGGCTCAGCATGTAACAGCAGCAGAACAGAATCAAACAGAAGTAAACCGAGCAAGAGAAAAGTTCCTGAAGCATTCGGACGTGAGTATAAAACCATAAGCAGCTAAGTATCTAGACAAAGACTTCTCGAAGCAAGA